CAATTCCTACACAGGCGCTTTGTGGAACCACCTTTTAAAAAAAACCGTCTTACAGCATACTCTTTCTCTGTTCTTTCGCTGCAAAGTCCAGGCTAGTATTGTCTCCTTTGGCAATAGCTCTCCAGCGTCTCAGGATGAATTCTTGCTTTTCCTTTGCTATTAGAAGGCCCTTGCTCACGTCCCCCATCTTCAGCTCATTTCAGGTTAGGCTTAGCTGTTCCAGTTTGAAACCAGAAAGCCAAGGAAACAGGCACATGGATCCTCAAACAAACCAACCCAGTGGTCTCCCTCAAAGTACGAAGGAACAGATTATCCTACTTCAGGTACAAGATGGGAAGGTCTCTGGAGAAGGCTCTAATGCTGGGAAAGGTGGAAGGAAAGAGAGGAAGACTATGACCAGCAGCCAGGTGGATAGACTCAGTTCCAACAGCAATAAGTGCAGCATTGGAAAACTTGAAAGACCAGGTTAGGGACAGATCGTCATGAATAAAATCTATGTGGTTGCTAAGAGTTAACAAAGACTTGATGGCACATATTCAATCAATCAATATTATTCATAGGAAAACTATGACTGGCCTAACATGGTACTTTTGTTCTCCCAACTCCCATCAGTACTTCCTCCTTGCTCAATCCATAATTACCTCAAGTTGGGGAATTATTGCTACATACTTTGTTTACCATCTCACCAGAGGAGCCAGTTTCACAAGCTGTGACTATAAAATCCACCAGCCATCGCAGAGAAGCCATCATCCTCCAAGGAGCTGCAGCGATGAAGGCATTAGTGCTCACCCTCCTCTTCCTCTTCCTTGCAGCCAGCGAGGCCATAGAATTTACCAGATGTGGACTGGCTTCATTTCTGAAACGGCATGGACTGGATGGATTTCATGGCTACAAATTGGGCAACTGTGAGTTCACTCTCTTTCTCTCCACCTGAGCAATGTCCAGGTTTGCAAGGGGGATGCAAAATGGGGCCCTTCTTTTCAAGGAAGAGTTCAGCCCACCTGGCCAATGAATAAAAAGCTCTTTTCAGTTTTCTTAGAATGAGAAGATGTGCTTTCTTCCCATCCCAAAGGACTGAGGAGACCTCATGATTCCCCTTGCACTAGCACTCTTATTTTAATGAGGGTGATCAATATCCACTTTGTTGCCTGTTTGGGGCAAGAGGAGAACTGCAGTACAATTAGGCCTCTTTTGCCTCTTTATTGTCTTTTTACAACCACTGGCTTAGCTAATAGTTTATTTGGGTTTTTTTAAGAAAAGGGGGTTATCCCTGCCAGGATAAGCATCTTCTGAGAGGAAAGTTCCTTCGAATTCCCCCAAATCGTGTCAGTTTGGAACAGGGTTGAAGGGACCATCCCAGAAGATTTTCCACATGTGCAGCAGTGCAAAAGACCCACCATGGAAAAGTACCTCCTCCCTGGAACGCCAGGATTACAGAAGGAGAAGAAAGGAGAGGTGGCGTCATCTGCCACTAAGAACCCCAGGAATATCTTTGAGACAAGAATCAGACTTATTCCAAATTCTCCTGAAATTTCCAAACTGTATGGGACTTCTTGGTCCGTCCTTGGTTGGGGAGAGAATGAGAAGATGGTTAAATGTTCTGTTCCAAATGTTGGTATTAAAAAACTCAGGGTAGC